GTCTATTTTTTTTTTTTTCCCCCCCCCCCCCCCCCCCCCACACACACACACACATATTACCTCTGTTCAGCTTCCAGTGAACTTGACAAAAAAGCATCTCTTTTCAAATTTTGCTTCTTTATCTTATCTGTAAGCTCTCTCTCATTGCTGGTCTCTTGGCTTCCTTCTGTGTCATACTGAAGATAATGAAGATATGGAAATGCAGAGATTCACATTTGGAAAATTTAAAACATTATCCATCTGTTGTGTTGAGTTATTAAGTTGTATTATTTTTAAAAACTAACTCAATCATTCATTAGGTCTCTTATAATTTAATGTCACAAACAGACATTTGTGATGCTACAAAAATGAAAACCAGTAATGAAAATGTTCTTTAAAGATTAAAATACCAGAATTTGTGAGAATTTTTCAATGTTCTGACCTTTTCTCCCTTTCTCAAGTTCCCGTTCTCCTCATCTTCATTCTGTGACTCCTGTTTGAGAGTCTTGAGGAAGTCACTCTTCTTGTGGCCCAGTACCTTAGGCTGGGTGACAAGCCGAGTGTTGAGAATTTCTATAGGAGTAGTGGGAGACTGGCGTGCTGGTGTGCCCTTAGAAATTATAACATTTGTTAGAAACATGGCATACAAAACAACAGAAAGTGATTATAGATAACTAGAATGTTCACATGAGTTCTCTTTTGAATTCCTGACATTAAGCTGCTCGTTGAATCAATAAAAAAATAATTCACTTATAATCACCTCTTTCCCACCAGGCAGTTTGCTGATGTTGTTATTCTTCCCCATCACAACAGGTGGTATGGTGGTTGTGGGTGTGGCAGGTTTGTTGTTAGGTACTTCTTTCACATTAAAGGAGCCATTCAGTTTCAAACTTTCCTTGCTAGCTCTTCTGGCAATAGGCTGAAATGTGAAAACGAGCAAAATTGGTTTAGCATGTAACAATTCCTCAGAGCACAGCAGGTATGGATTCAGGATCATGTTCACTCTTAAAGTAAGAACTATGGTACTTTGACTTTTCTATAATCATTTCGTGGGTGTGTGTGTGTGTGTGTGTGTGTGTTTGACTGGACCAAATAGGGTGCAAGATTCCAGATGTAAAAACATATACATTTATTGTTAAAATTATTCAACCATGACAGAATACAGTTGAATAAATAATTTGGGGGTTTAACTACCTCCTTTAACATTTGAATTCAGTAAACATTTTAACCTACTAACTCTGAAACTACCCATAACTGCAATAAATAAATATTTTCACCTATTAACTCTAAAACTACTCATAACTGCAATATCTGCAGGACTTAACTATCCTTCATTTACCTTGCTGGGAACTAAAGCTTTATAGATGTTTGCTCCTTGTACTTTATTCACCAGTTCCTTACTAGAGACCATCTCTGCAATGCCAAGAAATTCAAATGGTGAATTAAAATTCAAGTTGATGTAATATCCATGTCAATAAGCAATGGTATTTTTACAAATACCTTTTTTTATAAAACAAAATAATTCTTTATTACAAAGTGTTCAAGATGTAAACAAATGTTGAATAAATTAAGTTCATTAATACTGGAAAATACTAAAGTAATATTTTTCAACAGATTTTTATCATCAGTTCCTAATAATATATACAGTTTTACTCACCAGTCTGGGCAGGTTTGCTTTCTGCTCTTGGTACATAGCTTGGTTTTGTGTGGATCTTTGGATTCGACTTGTCTGTAAAAAGGGGCATAAAGCTAAAAACTAATGTTACAGCACATGTGTAACAGAAAATTTAAATGCCATTAATACCACTCAGGGATGTGGTGTGTGTGTGTGTGTGTGTGTGTGTGTGGGGGGGGGGGGGGGTCAAAAACCTGAAAATTGATGACGTTGTGCAATTATCCCAGGAAAATTAAAAAATGAATGTGTTTTACTACTTCTCATTTCCAAAACACAATGTAAACAATAGTATTTACAAATGGAAAATCTATTCCAACTTCACTAAATATAATTGTGACAACTTACCCCACACTCCACCTTTGCCTGCTGCTTTGTCAGACTTGCTGCTGACTGACTGCTCACTACCATCCCCATTGAGCAATGGCTGAAAATACCACAAATATGTTTCATAATTGTTATCAAATGATTTTAATAAGAACTTAATAGTATCTCTTTTTAAGTGGTGGGGTGTAACACTTTATGCAAAAATGACAAACAAGTAAATTGACATCATAGTGTAGCCATGATGGGCACCAACAAAAACCAGTCCCTTTTGGGTTTCATTTATCAGTACTTACATCAACCAAAAATGTACAACCATACTCACGAATTCTTCATTAAAATCTTTAGGCTCTTCTTCATTGGGCTCTTCCTTGTCTTTCTCTTCAGATTTCCCCTCTTTCTCTTTACTCAACTCCTTCAGTCCTGCATTTTTGTTGGTCTTGTAGTCTTTGTCTCCACCACGCTCTTGGTGACTACGTCGAGAAGGAGGTCTTGCATAGCTGTAGAAATAAGGGTCACCCAAGGCATAGACATCATAGGAGTAGGGCTCATAGTAGCTTGGATAGCCTGAACTCATCTGAAATATACAGCAAAACAAGTCAGATAACAAGTAAGCATCAAATAAGCATCAATAAAAATACATTATCAATTAAGCAATTCTAATACTTTGTTTACAATTGCATTCACAAGAATAGTTTAAAAATACAATAAAAACATCTGTCATTTGTTTATTATTCATGCTGCCTTTTCTACAGTCGTACCTGAGAGGGATAGGCATGAGGATGTTGGTATTTGTTCTCCTTGGGGGACTGTCTGTGAAGACTGGGCTGTGAGTTGTACTGGCCACCATACTTGTCATAGCCATATCCATTGTAAAAGTCGTACATCTGATAGGGCTGTCCATAGTAGTCATCTTCTACTGAGTGAGTACGGTATTTACTGCTGCCATACTTGGGACCTGAACAGAGGGAAAATTCAACATAAATGTTTGCAAAGCATCATTTTACTGTCTTATTTCTATGTAAATTTGCACTTGACACTAACTTAAACTAACTGTAGGTCTGTTGTTGAATCTACTACAAGACAAATTTTCTCATGCTCTGTGTTCAGTAATTTGCCTAAGTATGAAAAATATATAAATTAGATTGTCTAGTTAAAAACTTTTTTCCTTAAAAGCAATGAGCTGATTATAAATACATCACAAAGTCTGTTAATTGGAAAGAATCTACATGAAAAGTAAACGACAGAAGCTGTAATTAGGTAAAACTGCTCATCAGAGTCAGTTTCCAGTAACTATGTCTACTAGAACTATTTTCATTAAGTATGTGGTCAAAATATTGTATTTAAATTTCATGTCTGAGTGAAAGACAAAGCTGAAATACAGGATGATTTTACGATCTGCTTGACTGAGATTGATATACTCCAAATCAAAATTCTGATCAAACAATACAAACAAATCACCTTCAGTAATTGTTTTAATCTTGTTAATTATTACTATCTTTTTGTTTTTTGCTATACTTTCAAACTACAATATAAATATAACATGGGCACTAAATATGAGCTTTAATTTGCATGTACTCCTTGCATAAATAAGGAATAATTGCTTGAATTAAGGAAAATGGAATATATGAAGTGTGTGTAATTATACTTCAATCATTTTATGTGGTAACAATTGTTTAATGCCTAATTTAGTAAGTCCAAACACTTTTTACTACTGTCAATTAAAACACTTACTTACCCATAATGTGCTGCATCTATTATCTTTATATTTCCCAGTGGTAGAATAATTACACCCCATGATGGGATACACAAAATGAAGTGATTCACTTTTTTGTTAAAATCACAAAGACATTGAAGTTACAATTAAGCAATGCTTGTTGATAGCTTACTTTCATAATGTTCAAAAGATCTTTGTCTCTGAAGATAACCATAGTCAGGGGTGTATGCTGGATAGCCACTGTAGTAGTAGTCATTGCGGCGATTGGACTTGGATGACTTGTCTTCACTCTGATCAGCCTGCTTTGAACCAGATGGCTTCTAGATGACAGATTTTTAAAATTGTTAGTTCCATGCTTCTTATGCCATATAATATGCTATTCATGCAATTCAAGTAACCAATTTCACAAATCATAACAAGAACTTTACACTATTTCACTTAATTAAAGACTAATCTTTGAGAAATATTTTTAAATCGCTATTCAATCTAGACACTTTTTTTTTCAGATAATTTCATTTTTTAAACGTATTGAAGCAATGTATGATTGATGGATGAGGATGGAGTAGTGCTCCTCTATATAACTGCATTTTTACTTATTTATAAGTGGATAATATTTTTACAAGAAAAAATACTTCACTTTTTCTATACTTACAGAGTTCTCACTAGGAATTTTGAGCCATGCTGGTGCAAAATCCGCTTGTGGAGCTTTACTGTTGGCCATCAGTGGCGCATAACGCTGTTAAGCTTTCCAAAGCTGGCAAGAGTAGAAAAATAGTATCACTAAGAGAATCACTTTTTTCAATGTCCAACATGGCAAATAACAAAAAAAGTACTAATAATAATAATAATTTTATTTTAAATCAATTTTAGAACAATTTAACGCATAATTAAGAATCTAAAATATGTCCATAAGCAAAATGTCAAAAAACATTAGTGCAAATTTGTTATAATCAAATATGAAATCTTACCCGTTTAAACTTGACCCGTCTCAGTGAAGAAATGCCCAATGGGCACACAGCCCTTGAAAGCCTTTCCTCTTAGCTTGACCAATTCCTTTCGTTTCACAAAAAGGAAAAAACAAACTGGAAAAAGGAGTCTCTTTCCTAAATCCCAAGGACACAAAAGGACGTTTTTTATCAATGTATCATTTCAACATTTCAGATAGAGCAAAATACTTCAGTTTTCAAGTTGCACTTAATAAAGCACTTTTCCTCACAAGTTTCAGTATCCAACTCATCTGTGGGATACAATCTCTGGAAACATTGCAGATCAACATTCACACTTGTTGCAGAAAAGTTGTTCCATTTGCTTTGATGAATTTCCTGTTTTTACATCATAACATTTCTCCTACTAATGTTTCAGTTTCACTTTTGTCCAATATGATTGCATCCAACAATGCCTCTCATACACACAGCACTTAGTAGGAAAATATTGGTATTTACAATTTTATACAGAATAGAGTTACAAAAATAAACTTGTTGACTATGGTTAGACTGTTCTAGTTTCTACAAACAAAGGAGGAATGGCTATGCTACTATATACAACTTGAATTGATGTCAGTTAGTGTTCACCTCATAGCATGTTTTCAATTACAATTCTGGTAAGCACACAACTAAACCACACACAGGCAAGAAGCCTGCACTTCACAAATGCTAAGAAAAGCTGGAAGTAGTATGCATTTGTGGCATGTCAACTTTGACAAATCCACTGTTTTGTATTTTGAAAAGGAATCCTTTTCTTGGTAAAAACCAGCCTGGTATCTTCCACTGCAACATAAAGCTTTCCAACTAATGGGTGTTCATTCTGTTCAGAGATGCTCCATTCCTTGTATTACTGTTTGATATTGACACTACATGTACAGTGGTGTAATTCTATGTTGACTACATCTGGTAAGAATGGCACACCATCAAGCAAGACGTTGATACAGGAAATTGACGTCTAATCAGAGTACGTAGTACTAGTACCGCGTAGTAGTAGTAGTGTCCCAAAATATATTGTTTCTACGTCTTTCGCTTCCTCAGAATCGATTGCCTTCGATAAACTATTTATGCTTAACTTCTACAAAAATAGTCAATGCATTCCAAGGAACGTAGTTATTGCTGTCAGATCACAATGAGTTCCTAATAGTCATGTCGGTGATGTTGCCAAAACGTGTTTCGATGCGAAGTCAGACCTCCAAAGCGCAGTAGAATTAGCTGCAATGATTAGTACTAACGTCCCATTGAACATATATTCTTGAACCACTTTTATAAAACCAACACCGTTGTCACACTGACTGGTCCAAACACTATTTTTTCATTGCTACATGTACTTTAAAATTGATGAAATAACTTCCTGAACTTTGCGTCTTCTCGGCTGCTTACATCCCGTAATGGTAGTAATCTCGCATTGTCTCGATCAAAGAAAGTAGGTCACTATTAAATAACCTAATGATAAGTTAATTTTTATAATTTCAGTGATAATAATGTTGAACCACATGATAAATTATTATGTTTTAATAAGTTTATTATATGCATGAAGGTAAATAACATACTTTACAATATATAACTTAAACTGTTTTGAGTTAAAGCTGAACGAGATTTCGATACTCCGCATTAGCACGCGAATATTTCAGATGGTTGTTTTTTATGTATATTGAAATATTTCCATTTTTGCTTCACTTTCATTTAGATAATTTTCCATTTACGTTAAAAAGAATTAAATAGCCTATAAAAAATGCGTTTTGCTTTTAAACAAGTCAAACATTTTATGTATTGGATAGCAAATTTTGCGCGTGGCTATTATTTCATCAGAGAAATTATTTCACCGAGCCAAATCGGACTCGAAGTTTACCGGCAAAAGCTCACTTTCCCAAGGTAAATCCATGACATGTGCTAGGGTGTATTGGTATTATATCATTTCAACATTAACTCCATTATGAAAAGCCATATATGTTACATGTTGTTTATTATTGGGTATTTTGTTGTACAAAGTGCAGGGGTATACCTGACCAATGAATTTAATGTCAATTTAATATTCTCTTGTTTGTGCTATGTTATAGTTAGTTGTACTGTCATTGATTGTACCTTGTATGTGAAGGTGTTTATCAATAATGAATCTGAATCTATTCTCGTAAAAAAAAACGATGCGTTTGACATTTTGATATGATAGCTACGGATTTAAGAAATTATAAAAACAAACTTGCTCTGATGATTTTATTTCACAGGTTAAAATAAACACCATGCTCCAATTAGGTGCTCGTTGTCTTGGCTCTAACATCATGCTTCAGTGCAAGGCAAGAAGTGCAGTTCCATTGATCAATTCCCTGAACGGACATCAAAAATGTCAAGTGTCAGTACATCAAGCAAGACTGTTCAGTGTCACTTCAAACCTGAATCTTGACTACAAAGATCAAATAAAGCAATTAAAGAAAGCAGTTTCATCCGGAACTGAACCTGTGAAACCCCTCATCAGCTTTTTAAAGGCTGAGATACCGAGTTATAAATCTGCACCTGATGCTGCAAAATACCTTGGACTTGGGGGCTTGGTTCCATTTGTGCTCCCCCCTCTTCACTGCCTTTTTATTCTTCATATGTATGACCCCAATATTGCCTATCTTCAAGCTCTCTATGGTGGGTGCATTCTATCTTTCCTGGGAGGAGTCAGGTGGGGATTTTCACTGCCGTCAAATGGGCCATTGAAGCCAGATTTTAATAATTTGAGCATAAGTGTAGCACCACCATTAATAGCTTGGGGAGGGTTAATGCTTGGGTCCCCTGGACTCTCCATCTTCGTCACCATGTGCGGACTGAGTGGTGCTGCATACTTGGACTCTAAGGTGAAGGCCTACCCCAAGTGGTATCATGGACTGCGATATTTACTGACTGTAGGGGCAGTGTCATCTCTCTTCCTTACCTTGGTACTCAAAGCTCTCCTCAAAAGCAAAGATCAAGAATACCTGCCAGAGGGCGTGGCAGAAGCTATCAGAAAGGCAAGACAGTCCTAATTGACAGTGCTTATTTTGAACACCAGAATGCCAAATACTAGAGCTTGTATGTGTTTTACAGGTATTTCAAAAGTACTAAATAATGCATTGTGCTACAGAGAATCAGCATCAGTGCTTGTGTTATAAAGTTGTGAATAGTTATCCTGTTCTTGTGCGTAGCAACTTCAGTTGTTTATTTAAGAGGTTAGAGAAGGGGACATTCTCAACAAAACTATTGGTCTTAAGTAGATTGATCCAACTCTGCAGGGACTCTAATTGAATGCAATCAAATTAACAGACCATCATGTTTCCAATGTTATTATATAATCACCAGCTTTTGCTTTCTTCTGCTCAATGCCAGGAAGCATGTTAAGCTGATAGCATTCAGGGAGAGTTGGATTGACTACATAGAACAATAGTTTCCTTGGGAGTGAGCCTTTATACATGTACACCTTTGATGATTTGCATTTTTCTACATATCAATTCTTGAGCAAATAATCCAAGTTATTACAGTACAAGTTTCTATTTTGTATTTGATGTGTTGAGCAAACATTCAGTGGGTTTGATCTTAATTTTGTATCAATTTCGACTTAAACTAGTTCATGTTCTACAAGTTTAAGTGATATTTTTGAAATTCCAGCTCATTATAAATTCTGTACATATTTATACCAGAGCTGATACCAGTAATATTACAGGAAATATTATAAGTTGAATGTATGCAGGAAGCTGTGGATTTTTTTTTTTGGTTTTTTTTTTTTTTTTTGTTTTATTATGGCAACATTGCATGCAATGATGAATTAAACTGAATACCAAAAAATTTTGTTTTTGTTAATTTTTAAGCTGGTTTACTACACCACTTGAAGATGCATACCCCAGTATTAAGTATGTAGACATGCCAAATTATTCTCACTAAACCCTTCCAAATGCCACCATATAGATTACTTCGTATTGTAACTTAAGCAAATCCATTACATTTCATTATTTTCTCTTATTTCATTTTCATGAACTGGAGGGATGGATAAGTAGGCCAAGTTTATGTCCAGAAATTTGAAGTGCTATGGGTACTCGTAGTTTTACTTCCACATATTTATATAATGTTTAATTTGTTAATTGCCATGGTGCAGCTAGCCATACATTATCATACTGATATTTGGGTTAAAAGCATATTTTGGATGAAGCCCTTAGTGTGCCTGTATTTAAAGTAAGCAATTGATTGCAATCTAAATGTATTACTGCTTTTCTGAAAAAATCTGTCTAGTGCTTCAACAATTGATATGATACTTTTTGCTTTTGATGATCATTTCTCCTTTTTAACACTCAACACTGGAAAGCAAGATAAACCCACATGCTTATGTTTTACAGATCATAACATACAATCTAAGGCAATTTCCTACGTTTATTTTACGTGAAAGTATAGTTCATTCAAGTTCTTTGTTTTAATCATTTTGTTTGACTTTCTTTTGTACAAAAGCCATTTTTACTACTTTATAAAGCAGGAAACTATAAGGACAGCACTGATTACCACTACAATTCTAAAGACTATAAAAATTTTCAACATAAATTCAAACAAAAATGGTAATTAAATTTTCCTCCTTGTTGGTTGCCATTTGTGTATTCAAAAAGGTACGTAATCACTAGCTGGTGGTGTCATCATCATTGCTCTTCGTCCCACGTGGGACATAAGGCCACAAGCTGGTGGTGTAAACACTGCAAAAACTGTGTAACCATCTGGCAATTTGAGATGTTGGTGTGTTGGCGGGATAAACTCCATTGCTCTGGGATCAGGTGCTAGAGATTGTCCACTGTCACTGCTTCGTCTATCTTTCAAAGGTGTTTCCTTCAAAATAAAATGGTATATATAATGGTTGGTAAATATACATTTGATAACTAATTCAGGTGTGTAATAACTGGGAAATAAAATGAATGATCTGAGGCAGAGGACATATACTGTCAATATAATTTAATTATAACAAATGCAACTTTTAGCAGCTGTGTTTTGCACTTTAATTTACAAAAACAGTTTCTTCTCCAGCTAATTTAAAGTTAGGGCTCATTCCCAATGAACCTACGTTCCATGTAGATTTATCCAACTCCATGGGGACTCTTGCTTACTGCCATAAGATTAATAGATTGATCTTCTTTCTAACATATATAATCAGCAGCTTTTCTGCATTCTAATATATGTAATTCAATGCAGGAGGAGTCTTGTTAATCTGATTGCATTCAGCAAGTCCCTGCAGAGTTGGATCAACTACGTAGAATGATAGTTCCATTGGGAATGAACCCTTGGACTATTTACCACTCCATAATTTCGGTGTCAAACAAGACACTTTCAACAGAGTTTACAACTAAAATATTAGAGTCTGCAGTAATAACCCTATATTTATGTTTGGCTGTTGTTTGCAGAAACAATCAATGTAACTTCGATAGAATAAAAAAGAAATTAAACAGTTCTAGGTGGTTGCAGTTCCTGCAGAGGTTTGTTTTACCTGGAACTGGTTCATTACGTTGCATGTTTTGCTGGCAGATGTTGAATTTCTGCTAGAAGAATTGTTCAACATAGTCAGACTATAAACACCACTTGAATAATCTGCTGCAACTTCATTATTTGAAACCCCTGTATGCTGAGGTAAAAAGAATGAAAAAGAATGAGAGAAAAAACCATACCATTTAACTAATTACTTCACTGGTTAACCCCAGATATGTTATATTTTAATATAGATAGCATATTCTGAGCAAATTTGGAAAAAGATTACATCTGTATCAGTAAATGTCTAATTAAATAAGATAAGCTTTTACATGTAAGGATTGCCCTGCACTGCGGAGTTTCATTGAAACCAATTTAAACTGTAGGTGGATAAAGATGGCAAAATTGCATATAATATTTTACAAAAATGAAAAAAAAAAAAGAAACTGACTCACTACTACATGCAAAGGTCTTATGTGAAAAAGATTCATCAGATTTGGTAAAAAAAAATGCTACAATAATTAATTTTGATGTTTTGTAAAATGAAAAATTAAAGAAAAGACAGATAAGATTGGGTCTAAATATGGAGAGCTAGGAGACAGATGGACAGACCAATTGTCAAATATCCTCCTCTTTACACAAGGTGGGAGAAGAAAAGCGAGCAATTCCAAAACATATAATGTTAAAGCTTTCATAATTACCTGTGGTATATCCATTTTTATTTTCTTCTGTGTGTATTGATAGGCTCTGGACACATAAAGACAATATATGTGCTAAGATTCCATAATAACTACAGACTTGTTTGCAGTGCACCATCTAAGTATGTTGATATGACCATCAATTTTATTACTGAATTGAAATATATAGTTTGGTAATTAAATGAAGTATAAGAATAATGAAAGTCACCATATCTGCATTTGTTTTTATAAGAGCACTGTATGTAGGATTTTAAATTCCATATTACCTGCACACTGCCACCAGCACACCAATTATAACCATACACCCCATGGTACTGCTGACACTGATTAGAACAGTTTCAGAGCGGTGGGGTTCACCTCCTGAATAGGTACCACCAGCTGGGGAGGGTTTTTGAAAGTGAAAAAGAAAATTAAATTTTTGGCTGTGAACTTTGATGTATAAGAAAAATTATTTCAGCATCTTATGCAAATAATTACTACAGATATGTATAATATATTATATGTACTTGCTACAATGGCATTCCAAATCTAAATTTTAAAAAAGCCTGAGTTAAATGACATTGTCAGCTACAATATATACTTTGCTATGTTTTTTTACCCAGACTTGAGTATGCATTGGTCTTGTTTAAAGTACACGTTTGTGTGTAATTATTTCATTTTGTCACCAAAATATTTCAAGGATAAATGATATAAAAGAAAACAATAATTACTGCTGAAAATGGCAAATGATGGTTGTACAATGTATAGTCAGGTGATATGACTTATAAAGACCTTACCCATGCCCACATTAGTTTCCACTGTTTGTATTGCTTTGGGTCCCAGGCCTGCTCTGGTCTGAGCTTGGACTGACACTCTGTAGCGTGTCTGAGGCTTAAGCCCTTCTATTAGGGCTGATGTCCCTGCTTCTGTGACAGAAATATTCCTCATTCCTGTAGCATGAAAAGTCACAGGTTTAAACATTTTGTTAAATTGCTACAGTGCTGTTAATTATCTTCTCAGAGGTCATTATTTGCATGTAAAAAGAAAATTATGGCTTGAAGACAACACTCTAGCTCATGGATGATATATTAAGGAATGAAACTCCTATAAAAATCTTTGTAATTTCACTTACCTCTAATACACTTCTGTGAGGTGATTTCAATTTCGCAGTATTTTATTAAGTAGCCCAAAATTCTTCCTTTGCTTTGTTCATATCCCAAAGCTTTCCAGGACACTCTCAAGCCTGTGATGTTTAACACAGAGGTGAAATTATCTGGGGCAGTGGAAGGAACTGAAGAGAACAAAAAATTTTTCATCAGAGGACTGTTTGGTAAATGTATATTTATACATTTCTATATCTTTCTTCAAATTCTCTTTATTGTATGACAAAGGTAACATTCTATTGTATTTGGTTTCAGTATCTGCCAAAACCAAAGATAATATGAGAAATGGAGTAGGCACAGAATTATGAATAAGCAGAATGAACTAAATACTTCTGTCAAGCTGACAACAACACTTGCAACCCANAGCCTATTTTGTGCATAGTTATTTCCTGTTTTTTGTCTGTACATTTGACAGCTTTGCTGCCTTGTTTGTATTTGATGTGCTGAGCAAACATTCAGTGGGTTTGATCTTAATTTTGTATCTATTGCGACTTAAACTAGTTCATGTTCTACAAGTTTAAGTGATATTTTTGAAATTCCAGCTCATTATAAATTCTGTACATATTTATACCAAAGCTGATACCAGTAATATTACAGGAAATATTATAAGTTGAATGTATGCAGGAAGCTGTGCATTTTTTTTTTTTTTGTTTGTTTTATTATGGCAACATTGCATGCAATGATGAATTAAACTGAATATCAAAATTTTTTGTTTTTGTTAATTTTTAAGCTGGTTTACTACACCACTTGAAGATGCATACCCCAGTATTAAGTATGTAGACATGCCAAATTATTCTCACTAAACCCTTCCAAATGCCACCATATAGATTACTTCATATTGTAACTTAAGCAAATCCATTACATTTCATTATTTTCTCTTATTTCATTTTCATGAACTGGAGGGATGGATAAGTAGGCCAAGTTTATGTCCAGAAATTTGAAGTGCTATGGGTACTCGTAGTTTTACTTCCACATATTTATATAATGTTTAATTTGTTAATTGCCATCCATATACATGGTGCAGCAAGCCATACATTATCATACTGATATTTTGGTTAAAAGCATATTTTGGATGAAGCCCTTGGTGTGCCTGTATTTAAAGTAAGCAATTGATTGCAATCTAAATGTATTACTGCTTTTTTGAAAAAAAATCTGTCTAGTGCTTCAACAATTGATATGATACTTTTTTGCTTTTGAAGATCATTTATCCTTTTTAACACTCAACACTGGAAAGCAAGATAAACCCACATGTTTACGTTTACAGATCATAACATACAATCTAAGGCAATTTCCTAAGTTTATTTTACGTGAAAGTATAGTTCATTCAAGTTCTTTGTTTTAATCATTTTGTTTAACTTTCTTTTGTACAAAAGCCATTTTTACTACTTTATAAAGCAGGAAACTATAAGCACAGCACTGATTACCACTACAATTCTAAAGATTATAAAAATTTTCAACATAAATTCAAACAAAAATTGTAATTAAATTTTCCTCCTTGTTGGTTGCCATTTGTGTATTCAAAAAGGTACGTAATCACTAGCTGGTGGTGTAAACACTGCAAAAACTGTGTAACCATCTGGCAATTTGAGATGTTGGTGTGTTGGCGGGATAAACTCCATTCCTCTGGGATCAGGTGCTAGAGATTGTCCACTGTCACTGCTTTGTCCATCTTTCAAAGGTGTTTCCTTCAAAATAAAATGGTATATATAATGATTGGTAAATATACATTTGATAACTAATTCAGGTGTGTAATAACTAGGAAATAAAATGAATGATCTGAGGCAGAGGACATATACTGTCAATATAATTTAATTATTACAAATGCAACTTTTAGCAGCTGTGTTTTGCACTTAAGGCTTCGTTCACATGCAATGTCTATTTTCTAAAAATCTATTTTCTATTCGCGGTATCTTATGATCATGGTCTGTGCCCTGAATATCCCGCGGCGTAATTACTGGCAGCGCGAGCCAGTTACTTAAAATAACTTATAGTGACTGGCTCGCGCTGCCAGTAATTACGCCACGGGATATTCAGGGCACAGACCGTGATCATAAGACATATCGTGAATAGAAAATAGAATTTAGAAAATAGACATTGCATGAGAATGAAGCCTTAATTTACAAAAACAGTTTCTTCTCCAGCTAATTTAAAGTTAGGGCTCATTCCCAATGAACCTACGTTCCATGTAGATTTATCCAACTCTATGGGGACTCTTGCTTACTGCCATAAGATTAATAGATTGATCTTCTTTCTAACATATATAATCAGCAGCTTTTCTGCATTCTAATATATGTAATTCAATGCAGGAGGAGTCTTGTTAATCTGATTGCATTCAGCAAGTCCCTGCAGAGTTGGATCAACTACGTAGAATGATAGTTCCATTGGGAATGAAGCCTTAGACTATTTACCACTCCATAATTTCAGTGTCAAACAAGACACTTTCAACAGAGTTTACAACTAAAATATTAGAGTCTGCAGTAATAACCCTATATTTATGTTTGGCTGTTGTTTGCAGAAACAATCAACGTAACTTCGATAGAATAAAAAAGATATTAAACAGTTCTAGGTAGGTTGCAGTTCCTGCAGAGGTTTGTTTTACCTGGAACTGGTTCATTACGTTGCATGTTTTGCTGGCAGATGTTGAATTTCTGCTAGAAGAATTGTTCAACATAGTCAGACTATAAACACCACTTGAATAATCTGCTGCAACTTCATTATTTGAAACCCCTGTATGCTGAGGTAAAAAGATTGAAAAAGAATGAGAGAAAAAACCATACCATTTAACTAATTACTTCACTGGTTAACCCCAGATATGTTATATTTTAATATAGATAGCATATTCTGAGCAAATTTGGAAAAGAATACATCTGTATCAGTAAATGTCTAATTAAATAAGATAAGCTTTTACATGTAAGGATTGCCCTGCACTGCAGAGTTTCATTGAAACCAATTTAAACTGCAGGTGGATAAAGATGGCAAAATTGCATATAATATTTTATAAAAATGAAAAAAAAAGAAACTGACTCACTACCACATGCAAAGGTCTTATGTGAAAAAGATTCATCAGAATTGGTAAAAAAAAATGCTACAATAATTAATTTTGATGTTTTGTAAAATGAAAAAGTAAAGAAAAGACATATATGATTGGGTCCAGATATGGAGAGCTACCCAGTAGGAGACAGACAGGCTAATTGTCGAATATCCTCCTCTTTACACAAGGTGGGAGAAGAAAAGTGAGAAATTCCAAAATATATAATGTTAAAGCTTTCATAATTACCTGTGGTATATCCATTTTTATTTTCTTCTGTGTGTATTGATAGGCTCTGAACACAAAGACAATGTGTGCTAAGATTCCATAATAACTACAGACTTGTTTGCAGTGCACCATCTAAGTATGTTGATATGACCATCAATTTTATTACTGAATTGAAATATTGTTTGGTAATTAAATGAAGTATAAGAATAATGAAAGTCACCATATCTGCATTTGTTTTTATAAGAGCACTGTATGTAGGATTTTAAATTCCATATTACCTGCACACTGCCACCAGCACACCAATTATAACCATGCACCCCATGGTACTGCTGACACTGATTAGAACAGTTTCAGAGCGGTGGGGTTCACCTCCTGAATAGGTACCACCAGCTGGGGAGGGTTTTTGAAAGTGAAAAAGAAAATTAAATTTTTGGCTGTGAACTTTGATGTATAAGAAAAATTATTTCAGCATCTTATGCAAATAATTACTACAGATATGTATAATATATTACATGTACTTGCTACAATGGCATTGCAAATCTAAATTTTAAAAAAAGCCTGAGTTAAATGACATTGTCAGCTACAATATATACTTTGCTATGTTTTTTTACCCAGACTTGAGTATGCATGGGTCTTGTTTAAAGTACACATTTGTGTGTAATTATTTCATTTTGTCACCAAAATATTTCAAGGATAAATGATATAAAAGAAAACAATAATTACTGCTGAAAATGGCAAATGATGGTTGTACAATGTATGGTCAGGTGATATGACTTATAAAGACCTTACCCATGCCCACATTAGTTTCCACTGTTTGTATTGCTTTGGGTCCCAGGCCAGCTCTGGTCTGAGCTTGGACTGACACTCTGTAGCGTGTCTGAGGCTTAAGCCCTTCTATTAGGGCTGATGTCCCTGCTTCTGTGACAGAAATATTCCTCATTCCTGTAGCATGAAAAGTCACAGGTTTAAACATTTTGTTAAATTGCTACAGTGCTGTTAATTATCTTCTCAGAGGTCATTATTTGCATGTAAAAAGAAAATTATGGCTTTAAGACAACACTCTAGCTCATGGATGATATATTAAGGAATGGAACTCCTATAAAAATCTTTGTAATTTCACTTACCTCTAATACACTTCTGTGAGGTGATTTCAATTTCGCAGTATTTTATTAAGTAGCCCAAAATTCTTCCTTTGCTTTGTTCATATCCCAAAGCTTTCCAGGACACTCTCAAGCCTGTGATGTTAAACACAGAGGTGAAATTATCTGGGGCAGTGGAAGGAACTGAAGAGAACAAAAAATTTTTCATCAGAGGACTGTTTGGTAAATGTATATTTATACATTTCTATATCTTTCTTCAAATTCTCTTTATTGTATGACAAAGGTAACATTCTATTGTATTTGGTTTCAGTATCTGCCAAAACCAAAGATAATATGAGAAATGGAGTAGGCACAGAATTATGAATAAGCAGAATGAACTAAATACTTCTGTCAAGCTGACAACAACACTTGCAACCAAAATAAAACATTTTCCTGAATAATCTCAATATGCATGATTTGTAACTACATGTATGCCCTAGCTGTTGTCTATCAAACAGCAACTTTCAGATGTTCCTATGGTCAATTTCAGTCACAACAGCTAGGAACAACTAAACCTTTTGGGACATTAAACAATTTTAATTATTAAAATACTCTACCTCCATAATATTGATAGTTACACCTGCAGTTTGGATACACCAGTGTACTGTTATAATCTGGCCATGCAGCTCCTACCAAATAAACATAATCCTCAGCTGACTTGGGTAGAGAGAGCTCACACTGGGTGTGGTTGTGGGTATGGTTTACTTCAATGATTTTGCTCTATGAAATAAAAAGAAAAAGTCCTTGTGTTCTTGTATATATACTATGTGTTTTATTTCAAAAAATTTGTTTGACTCTTTAAAGGATAAAGTACGATCTTAAGTTAATTCAGTTTTATTCAGTTTCTGTTTATTAAAATGAAAGTGCACTGTCAATCAACTACTTTCAATTTTATATATTCCAATATATACATGTACCTGGCAGTTCTTGTTTTCTGTGTAATTTCCCTCACACCAAACAACAGTGTAGTAAATAATTGTGTTAACTGACTGATTATCAACTGGAGACTGCCAGCTCAGATGGGCTTCTTCATTAAAGATTTCAACAGAAAAAAATCTGGGTTTCTCTGTAAAAGAAATAACTGCATGAAAATTGTTTTGACAGTAAAGAGTCTGGTAATCTAGCAATCTAGGAAAATAATTTTTTGGGAAAACACCATATAAGTAATGGAAATCAATGGTATTTTGATCTTTTATCCAAAACTATTAAATGTGATATTCTATCATATAAATCTTCTAGAAAAAGGATGGCAGCTTACTGCTTAAGGACACATTCAATCTCTGTTCACTTGATCTTGAAGCAAATCCTGCTGGAGTGGCAGCATTGATGGTAGCCAAATAAAATTGTTGATCATCAAGAATCTTGCGACATGACAGTGGTAATGTTCTTGCCCCAGATGTCTGGTTGAACCTCACAGTTGTGTTACAAGAGCCGTGAGTGGCAGTGTATTTGCCTAAGGATGCTTGGTGTGCTATGATTTTTCCATAACGTGAGGTCTCAAGAATTTCCTGAAAAAAATTACTTACATGTACGTACAGGCTGGTTTTTCAACAGTAATCAGGGGTGGACAGAAGCTGTCTTCTGGGTCTACCGGAAGAAGGTCAGAAGTTTTTGAGTTTACATTGATGGGTATCTAATTTTTTTTCTGTCAGAATACGGTCAAAAATGGAGGATGGTTCAACAAAGATAACTTGGAAAACTGGCAGAAAATATCTCTGAATCACTTGTGAAAATAGTTTCATTGGATCTTAATTTTGATAGTCAGAAAGTTTTCATTTAATTGAAAACTTTGTGACTATCTCTGAATCACCCCTGGTAATGAGAAAATGGAGGCAAATTTGAAAGGGCTTTATATCCTAACATACATTTACAGTATTATGTACAGGGCATTAATTTTCCATCAGTATTGACTTAATGATATTCCATATCTGAATTGAAAGCAAATGATTTTTTAAAAAGCTTTGAAAAAAATGTTAAGGAATTAGACATGCACAATTTTTTTACCTTCCAGAAGAAATGGAAAGTGAAGATTTCTTCCTCAGGCTGGTATAAAACACCCATAAGTTGTGGCGGAGCTGCAGGTGCTAAAGATAATCAAAATGTTGAATCCTATCATTTTTTTAAATTAAAGTACATGTTTATTTAAGCTCTAGAGAAAGAAAGTATGTATCTCCATTCAAACTAGCATTCACTAATATACAGGTCAAAATTCTATTTCAAATAGAAAAAATATCATAGTGGAAAAGAGTTTCAATTTTATCTTAGCATGCAAAATTTCTTAATGTTTGTGTAAAACCTCATGCATGAAACACCCACACCTAATGTAAATACAACTATATTATGCGTATTATATACTAACCATCTACTTTGGTTTTAAGCACAGTATAACTCCTGCCACCTACTTCACTGAAGTGACCATAATTTGGTGTTTCTTCCCCAACTGGAACGACCTGCACACTAATGTTGTATTCAGAAAAAGGATGTAAACCAGTTAGCCTCAGGCCTAATGTCATTGTGGCATTCCAGCAGTTGTACTGTATTTTTTCCACCTGCAAAAGAAAAATATCTAGTTTGCATCCACTCTAATGAAAAATCTTACTGTCAGTGATGAACTCAGTGAACTCAAGTGTGTAAGTTGAACATAATTCTATCATTGACTGGCCAATAATTCTTACCAGGAAAAAAGTTGGTCTAAAATCACATTTCAGTTTTAATCTTAACATCAATCAATTCAAAAAAAGTTTCACCCCAATAGACAGGCAAATGCATCATATAATATAGTTAATACCCCCTCATTCCACCTGGACATGTAATGCACTGTGTACAATAACCCTCTGTTGCTGGGGCAACTGTTGCAACAACTGAGAAACCCCAGATGCACTGGTGGATCCCATGTCACATCCACTGCTGTACTGTTGATATTAGAACCTTCCACACCAGTCACTGGGTTTGGTTTTTCTAAATTCAAAACAAGAAGAAGTATAAATAATTGAACCGAATATATTGGTGAAATTTGCATTTCATGAAAGCACTTATCTTGTGTCATTTTTGTAAAAAATAAATTAGCAAATTGCATTCTGATCACTCTGATTTTATTGTTTAAAATAAAATATCATTATTATAGCTTATAAGTTGATTTTACAGTATGTATTCCTACCTATTCTATAGTCTGTCCTTAGTGTGTCATTTTTCCAGGTTACGCCCCACTTGTTCTGATTATATATAAAATAACTTAAGGTTGCTGGTTTAATGAAATGGCCACCGGTCAACATGCAGATGGCCTTGTTAGCAAATACCTGTACATTGGGGATACACCTTTTTAAGTCACCACTGAAAGATGAATCGAATTAAGATCCAGGCTTTGTCCATTTATTCAGCATGAGTACAATGTTAATAATTTATTCTTCAAAAATCTTAAATTAATTGTTTTTTAATTTTTTAAATATATATTTACACTTTATAGAATAAATTAAATAAAACCAACCACAAAAGAGCTGTAGCTACACAAACACTTCACAGATAAAATGAATGAGCTCCATTTTAAATATTTGAATGATCTTCTGGCTAGCATTAATAGATCTTACTTCTTATACTGAAAATACATTCCTGTTTCTTGGGTATGGTTGTCAAATGACCAAAGACATTCCATTCTCTCTTGGTTATAAGATATACACCTGAATTCTTGAGGATAGATTGGAAGTTCTGAAAGTCAAGAAATTAATGAAAGTTTTAAAAATCTTGATAAAGTCAAGAAACAATATGCAGTACACCTTGGTAATATAAAAACAAAAAACAATATGCAGTGTAAAGTACATTTATAAAACTTTTTAAAATAAGGCTATGTTTTGCAATTCCTCATTTGAAAACAATCAATATTTTCATCTCCCCCCCCCCCCAAAAAAAAAAATAAATAAATAACTGTCTTACAATGATGCTTACAGTTCACAAAACTATCAAATTATTAAATTTCATTTCCACACATAAAATAACATCTCCATACCAAATACAAATCAATTGATTATTTGGCCAGACTACACTGCTTCTATATGCCAAAATCAAATGAGATTTCACCATTTCATTTTAACCAATGGATCAGGTAACTAATATAAATGTTGTGGGTAATTAATGCAAAAAAAGAGACCAAATGTGAGACATATATCAGATTGTGACAGGTAGGCAATAATAAAAAAAATGTTCACAAAAACAAAAAGGCAAAAAAAGAAAATCGTGAGACAAACCTTCTATGAAAATTGTGCTTTGCTCAGACATCAAATATCCACCTGTCAGCTGGGGAATGGCACAGGAGCAGACCATCAGATGGCCAAGGACCAGAGAGGATAGATTATACATAGAAAAAGTCACATGTGATGTCGAGGCGTATGCAGAGGTGGAAGGGCATTCACCATTCCAACACTTTGCTGCTGAAAAAACTTTCCTTTTCAGTTCATTTTTGCAGTCGCAACATAGTGTTATGTCCTGCGAAGTGAGACTTGTTTCAGGTGGTAACGAGCAAGAAATGTTCAGTTCTGGCAGTGCATCTGTTTGGGCATCTGAAGACATTATCAGTCTACTTGGAACTGCTACATGTGGATCCAGTGGTGATATTCTGACTAAAATAAAGTGGGGGGAAAAAACTTAAAACATGCATGTTGCAAAATGGAAAGATCAACAGTTTGCATTGATGTAATTATTTTAAAAATAGACACTGTGAGTCCAATTACTGTTTACACTTATTGAAGAAATTCAAAATGATGATAATTATCATCAGGCTGTTAAAAAAAATCGATTTCAGATCAAATAGCCATAGTAAATAAAACTTTCATTAACTGCTTGATGACCTGACACCTAGCTGACAGCTCTAACCGATACAGTATATACATGTATGATTTACAAATAAAGAAGTACCTTTACAGTTAAAAATGCATGCTGGAATTTTTGCAAAGCAGCCAACTGATGTGAAGGGGTTACACTGATGAGCTAAAAAGAATAAATATGATCATCATACTGTCTTTACGGCCATTCCACGAAAAGGGGTACAATTCCAAAACAAGAAATGCAGTGATATGAACTTTGCAAAACTGGAAAACTTTTTATATTATTTTGATGAAGAGGTATTCAGAGAGTAGTAGAAGAATTTTAACCCACACCATTACTGTATTTAAAGAAATATGCACGTGTAAACATGGTACAGTATTTTTTTCGTTACGGAGGTTAGGTAACATCTAAATTAGGTTATATTTCAATCATGCCAAAGGTCACAGGCTCCATATTTGATTCAATTATTAAGATTTTGTATGTATTCAAAATTTTATTGCCCATTTAAGATTTCTCTTCAATTATAGAAAATGCGTTGCAAACACATTGGTAATAAGTGGCTCGTTTTCTATAAATACAAAGCCTGAGATATTCCAATTTAAATATTTTATTAATTATTGGGGACAGACTTGCTTTTTTATCATACTATTTGTTTATGAACAAAGTGCTATCAATCTATTAAGATATGAGCATTGATCAATGAGCACACACATATCCAATGTTCAAATGAAAAATGAGTAATTTCGTAACAGAGGTTAGGTCATTAATAGCGATCATATTTGTTTTAATATTTCTTAGCTTAAAGTAGACTTTAGAGGCTGAATTCGGAATTTGTAGTATTACAGATACGACAAACGTTACATAGTAACATAGAAAAATTGATAAAACATGTTTATTCAAACCAATAAATGGCAAATTGTTACAACGGGTTGCTTTGCTGTCTTTCAAGGACTACATAAATACATTTACCGCTACTGGATACATTTCACCGATAATATCTTGATCGATGTATCTGTAGAATTCACATTCCATATTCTACCAGATTAAGAGTTTAATTCATAATCTTAGTAACAGAGGTTAGGAATCAGAATCAGAAGTTTATTGACTATCGCCCTACATCCGGGCATGATCAAATACAAATACAAGAAGTAATCCGCAGAGTGATTACCATATACAGTTTGATATACATTATATAATGTCTAGACTAGGTAGGTAAGTTAGGTAAAACTCTATAGTCTAATTTATGTCATGCATTTAAACCGTTCAAAATCTTTCACAAGAAAAGCTTCGCGGTCATTAGATTTTTTTTTCTTTCTCTGTAGTGTTTTTGTAGCTCTGTATTTGTAAGTGGCATATTGGTGTCTGTATAACAAAACATTAAACCTACATGTACATGATCGCAACTATAGGCAATAAAAAACAACACAATACCCGAGAAAGTTAATGTATACAATCAAGTAGGCCGACAATAGACACGTGTTTGCGGATAATTGTCCATTTAAAGTTACTGGAAGCATCTAGAAGATGTTAAAAACTATTATGTGCTACTGAAACAGTAAAATAGGGCCTAATAACCCCGCAGTTCTACCTGATAAATACAAGCGTTGCTTCAATGCTTACCCAGACAGCCTCAATAATCTGGCNTTGATTATTTGGCCAGACTACACTGCTTCTATATGCCAAAATCAAATGAGATTTCACTATTTCATTTTAACCAATGGATCAGGTAACTAATATAAATTTTGTGGGTAATTAATGCAAAAAAAGAGACCAAATGTGAGACATATATCAGATTGTGACAGGTAGGCAATAATAAAAAAAATGTTCACAAAAACAAAAAGGCAAAAAAAGAAAATCGTGAGACAAACCTTCTATGAAAATTGTGCTTTGCTCAGACATCAAATATCCACCTGTCAGCTGGGGAATGACACAGGAGCAGACCATCAGATGGCCAAGGACCAGAGAGGATAGATTATACATAGAAAAAGTCACATGTGATGTCGAGGCGTATGCAGAGGTGGAAGGGCATTCACCATTCCAACACTTTGCTGCTGAAAAAACTTTCCTTTTCAGTTCATTTTTGCAGTCGCAACATAGTGTTATGTCCTGCGAAGTGAGACTTGTTTCAGGTGGTAACGAGCAAGAAATGTTCAGTTCTGGCAGTGCATCTGTTTGGGCATCTGAAGACATTATCAGTCTACTTGGAACTGCTACATGTGGATCCAGTAGTGATATTCTTACTAAAATAAAGTGGGGGGAAAAAACTTAAAACATGCATGTTGCAAAATGGAAAGATTAACAGTTTGCATTGATGTAATTATTTTAAAAATAGACACTGTGAGTCCAATTACTGTTTACACTTATTGAAGAAATTCAAAATGATGATAATTATCATCAGGCTGTTAAAAAAAATCGATTTCAGATCAAAGAGCCATAGTAAATAAAACTTTCATTAACTGCTTGATGACCTGACACCTAGCTGACAGCTCTAACCGATACAGTATATACATGTATGATTTACAAATAAAGAAGTACCTTTACAGTTAAAAATGCATGCTGGAATTTTTGCAAAGCAGCCAACTGATGTGAAGGGGTTACACTGATGAGCTAAAAAGAATAAATATGATCATCATACTGTCTTTAGTATCCTGGTTCATTTATTTTTGTCATTTATAAAAATGATAAACATTGCCATCTCATGTATTTGAAAAATGGTACTGCATAAACATCTAATGTCTTGGTCATCTGAAGAAAATTGGACATGCTGGACACAAAATTTACATTGAATAGAGGTTTAGTAAGTATGAAAAGAGGTTTAGTGAGTATAGCTATATAGAAATGCTGTACCTTCAAAAACAGCAATTAAATAATTGGCCATTTGTAAAAACAGCAAAACTTTATACAAATGTAGCACATATCTTGTGATACCCATCCTCAATAACCGGTCATTGATATGCTACCTCCTCATCTTCCTAAACATGATTATGAAACTAGAGGAGAAAAAAATACAAAATGAAGTTACATGTAATATTGTTAATCTAAAGCATGGGTTCTCAGTGTGTTTGATGTACACAAAACTTCAGATGCCCTTTATATTGATATGTGTAGTTTAACCTACACTGCTTTAGCTTGAGTATGGAAATTTGAATGAAAATAAAATGAGTGCCACGTTGGTCTGAAATTTCTTAAACCACAATCAACCTTCAAGTTAGAGACAACTGTATTATATCTACCAACAAATTTCAAACTTACCTCACTTGTTTTAATATTAAGGGGATCAAAAGTCAAAAGTCCATACATTATGATTTACTGTTAACCTAGTTTCCCTCTTTGTAATATCAGTAATCACATAGTCAAACAAGTGAAAGGACAAATGTGGTTTAACTATGATCATGTTATCAGATAAATCAATAGTACAATCAACAGATAAATACCCAATTATGATAACTTTTAAAATTCTATTCAACTATACATTAGTTCATGCTTTGTAGCAAAAACTGAGAGCCAGAAAATGTAGATTTTTTAAGAAAAAAAAGTCAAAACTTTTTTAGGTGCATAAAAACATACCTGTAACACAATTCTTGAGCTGCATTGTACTACTGAATCCCAATGTGAAATAATTACAAGGTCAAATTAAGCCAGCATTCAATGTCTCTCTAATTTCAAAATTAATTCACATTTAGAAATAGCATTCATTCTAGAATATTAGATACATTGTACATTCTGGTAGACATGAACCAAAAATCAGAATAGTGCTACTTTGAAATATATCCACTTTTTTTTATAAACTTGGAAATGTAAGAGGTAACCAATAAAGTCTGAGCATGCTAAAAATATGGTCATATTGTTTTCATTCTATTTAGGGAACTGGTTACTAGCCATGTGATTATATTATATGCCATATGATTACATTATATTATATATGTTATATGTCAAGGTAAAAACTTTCATGTACATCTAAAGGCAGTTTGGTAGGTAAAATAAACGAAGCCATTATTATAATAATGCATTAAAATTTTTATTCATTTGTCATTTTTATTCATATATGAGGAAGTATTACAGCAGTTGTCCAGCTGGTGTAAGAAATATTCAACAGGATTAAGTAATTATTAAGTAAAAACTTCTCTTCTTTCTAATTAGTTTAAAATTTTCAAAATACTAGTCTAAGATAAGTGTATTGTTCAGTTGACATTTTTTTAGAGTAATACAGCAAATTTTCAACTTTCGTTGACATGAAGTTAAAATACATAACGAGTCACTGAAAGCCTACACAGACACAATCAAATAATTTTGCCACTTTGTACAAACATAAACTAATGTTTTTTTAAGTAGACTAAATGTGTATCAAAAATATCAGAACTCCAGAAGTAGAGTTATACGTGTATGAGAGTATAGCTTACACAATTCCACGGTCATTAAGATCATAACAGTAACATAATATTTTTACATATATACATACATATAAATGATATCTAGTATATGTGACATATATACAGATATGCAGAGAAAATCTTTGTCTTAAAACACACACAATATATGTTCTGAATCAGGAACATTCAACTAATGACTAAATATTGTGACATTATTTAGAACATGAGACAGAATAGAACACAAGAAGGGCATTAATTTCAATGTTGATTAGCTGAGCACAGTTGTGCTAGAGTACATAACCAGACTGTAGTGGAGAAGAGGTACTGCCGACATTTTCAGCACCACTATTAACACCTTTGGTAAAAGATCCAAGTTCTGGGGTTGCTGAAGTTTGCGAGGTTTCTTTATCAGATGTGTGTGAAGCATCTGAACAGAGATAATTGCCATTCAGAGGACCAGCTGCTGATATGGCATTGCATCTAAAATCTTTTGGAATGTCTTCCTTGATGGATGCCTCTTGAGGAATGCTTACCGATACATAACCATTTTCAAAAGTCTCTTGGTTTGGAGAAAATACTGTAGCAACATAGTCACTAACATCTGATTTGTCTGCAGGTTGAGGATCATTACCAGAAACATCAAATGGCCAGTCATTTTCTGCCACACATGGAGCATGTTCATGTGTACCTACAAAGTCCTCACTACTATTGCCCCCAGTCCTTTGGAACACACTGGCAGTCACATATGGGTCAGTGGAGGAGGANTCGACGTATTCCACCCACTGTCGATATTTGGTTTCATCCAGAATAGACCTTTTTTTTAACCCCCCCCCCCTCCCCAGTTACAGGCGTGATGAATCAGTCAGCGAGGGCAAGTCTGCTTAATTAGCACAATTTGTATGTCTATAAGCACTATTATTGTCATCGGGGATAAAGGAAATGACAGGTACGTCATGTTTCCAGATTAGATCTTCAATTAATTGTTTCTTCCTCATTGACGAGAGCTTTTGAAAGGACAACAATTGACAAAGGGCCGAGGCACGCAGCATCTATTTCACTGGCTTAAAAATTTACCGAGTCTTGCCGACGACGTGGTCGAACAATCGGAACAAGAAAAAAAATTCTGTCGCATGATTTTGACGTATGGACTAAATGTTTGAGCCTAGAAAAATTAATTTTATAAAATAATTTTTGTGGTCGGATTGACTGGGCCCGTCGAAATGCTTGGCTCATTACCGTAGTCACTAACATCTGATTTGTCTGCAGGTTGAGGATCATTACCAGAAACATCAACTGGCCAGTCATTTTCTGTCACACACAGAGCATGTTCATGTGTACCTACAAAGTCCTCACTCCTATTGCCCCCAGTCCTTTGGAACACACTGGCAGTCACATATGGGTCACTGGAGGAGGACTGGTCATTTAAAGCACAGCCTAGTGCTGAATCAACATCATCATCTTGACCATTTCTAATGTTCTTGGTGTCCTTTTGTGCATTTAACAAATTTGTGCTACCTTTGGTGTCGGTGTGGAAAATTTCCCCCCGATTTCCACACAACTGCAGCAAAGTGTCTTTTGTCACATAGTCATCTACTGCAATCCCAGGTACGTTTGACAATTCACCTGCATATGTAGGAGCAATGTCACCATTTACTCTGTGCTCTGCCTGAGCAGGAAAGGGTGAAAGCTCCCCCTGTGTTGCACTGCCAAAGCCAACATGCCCCATCTCATCTGAACTCACATATCCATCTGAGCTGGAGCACTCTGCCATTTGTCTATCAGCCCCCAGTCTAATGCTAGGCACACATTGCATACTGTCTGAAGTCTCAGCCTTCCCAACTGGTGGTGGTGGTGATGATGGGGGTGTTGCACTTTGATCCCCCATCTCTGAAAATGACCAATAGCCCGAAGAGCCAGCAGGTTTTGAAAAGTAAATGTTAGGTTCAGTTTGTTTTGAATCTATCTGCCTGTTATGCTGCTGACTGGACCCAGTATGGGAAGGACGTTTTGTCTGGTTGCATGCAACTCGAACGTAATCATTTGATGCATTTGGTGTACCCAACTTTCCATACTTATCACTAGGGTCACTACATGTACTATCCTTTTCAAATTTTGCATAGTTTACAGACCCTGGTTCAGGAGATGTTAAAGAGAGATTTGGCACATACCCATCTGTGCGGCAAACTATGGAAACATCTTTGGAATTTGGATTCTCTGTTGTCACAAGAGGAATACAACTATCTGTAGATGATGACGTTGTCAATGGCAATGCAATGGAGTTAGGACTACATATACATGTACCATCAGCTACAAGGTTTCTAGTCAAAGATTTTCTCAAATCCTCCTGTGAAACAAATTCTTGACTACTACTATGGCTCTCGGGTAATGTCTCCACTGAAGAAAACATGGGGGTTTCTGCCAGAGCAAACTGTGTGTAACTGCTATTCAAACACTCATCACTGCTACAAGGGTTACTGAGATTGTTCCCTTGACCAGCAAGGGTTCCTTCACCTTCTGCACTCTCTGTAAAATCACCAGCAGGCTTAGTTATTTGCAAACCTATACTATCACATCTGTGACTGGCATTAATTTCTAAGTCTTCTGTTGGGCATCTCAGCACCAGCTCAGCAGAGGAATGACTATGTGATGTGTCACCAGAGGGAGGTTGGTGTGCCTGGTTGTCCAAGATGGGCCGTGGTGGCTGCTCAAATGGCAGGTCAGGATCAGAGGTATTGTTCAGGAATTGAGGTGTGGGGGATTGAGGCAAACCACTGTCATCACTTTGGACGGTGTCCTGTCTGTCAAGTCCCTGGATAGATAACCACAATAATGACAAATTAACTGGACAGATGTTTTCAATTTAAAAAAAATAACTTGTGCAAACTGTGGACTTGAAAGATGATATAAAGAGTTGTTTTCATTAAAACAAAAATATTTAAGTAATTTTAATTACAATTACCTTCAATTCAGACAATTCCTTTCTTCTTGCCCTTCTGCAAAATTTCGATTTCAAGTGCAAATAAAGATACTGACACCAATGATAGCCCTGAAAACAATAGAAGACTTTTATTGTTTAATCAAACAATTTACACATCTTTCAGAACAAAACACAACAAACCATGTGAATTGATATGTTTCATCAAATTCTTCTAATCTGAATTACATCATTAATAAAAAAAAATTTTTTTTTTCTCCTTTTTAAACCCCCTTTACACTGGACAGTGTCCTTTCTGCATACTTTGTGAAACTGGCATTGTTGTGGTCGTATAAGGAGGCACAAGCATTGCCTTGGTGGCAGAATGAATGCTTAATGACCGGCCAGTTTTCGGCGCGTAAATTATTATCATTATTTTTTTACTCTCAAACAGGACCATACTACAAGACGAAAAAAGGGCGCCGCCCAGTGTAGAGGAGGCTTTAAAGATCACTTGGATTAATAGAAATCCCTTACTCTGCAGGGTACATTTTCCTGACTTTCTTGCTGTACCAAGGCTGAACTATCCTCCTGGCCTGCGATGCGGTCTTCGTCCCTCTGTCTTCTAACTGCCATCTGGCTACTCGAGGAGGAGTCCATATCTTCAAAGTACTGAAACTATGGATGTAAAAAATTACAAGAAAATTAACTATACTTATGTAGATAAAATACAGAGTCAATATGTTGCCCAATAGTATTTTTTCAATAATGTTACACCATGCAAACTGAGTATGATAAAAAATATTGTCGTTTAGTTTTCATTCTGATTAGGGAATTGGGTGATGGGCCATGTGATTATTTATTTATTTATTTTGGATATAATAACTGTCAAGGAAAAAAAACTATGTTATCGATGAGGAAATAATAAAGATTCGATTGTAAAATGCATTATGGCACTTTGAAAGCAAATTGTTTAACTGTTACAGTACTAACTTTTTCTGGATTTTCTGGGACATCAATATCTATTGGCTGCATAGAAGATTTCAACCACCTGAAAAAGCAGTACTTTTCACACATATTTCAAACAAAAAGCATATCATATACCATACTTTCATACTGAAAGATGGTGATAAAATTTAATCCACTTGACCCATATTGTAGCAACCCAATACATGCCTAAGTAATGGATATCGTCCTGGATAGACTGAAAAGAGGCTGACAGCAGTGCCTGACCTTATACAAGACTACTAAAAGTGCAAGAATCTGCATGAAGTGGGGTTTGCTTTTAGGTGAAAGTTTATCGGTTCGAAATGTCATCTTAGGGACAATTCCCACAGATATTTGGATCAATTTATCTCTTTGGGGAGTCTCACTTAATTGCCATCAACTTAACAAGCTTAAATGTCTGTCACGCCTGGTAAGGCTGTAAGGGGGTAATTATCTTTACCCCCTAGCTGATTCAGTAGGCGTGACAGACATTTAAGCCGGTTAGTTGATAGATATTTTTCGATACAGATGGAACAATCTTGGTATGGGAACCCAGTCTTAGAAAATAATACCAAAGTGGCATACAAAATGTGGTTAATTTGTATTGTTGTACAATTGTTGTCATTCAGCACATCTTAAGAAAACCACCAGAGAAAAATATTTGTGGATGAATTCTTTTTGTTTAATTCATTGCCATACCATACTTGCTGAAGACTACCATAATTTTTTACCCCTCTCCTCCTGCAAAATCTTGCTTCATTTTTATGCTAATTTGTTTGTTTTTTTTTTAAATATCGTTAATAATTCATTTTGCTTTCTGGAAAGAAATTTTTATAAGGTGACTGCCTCTAATCACATGATATATATATGTATAGTTTTTAAACCTGCTAGCACCTAAAAACAGTTTACTTACCGAACTGCACATACTGCTATGGTCACTATCACACCCAGAGCTAAAACAGCACCCAATATGACAAAGCCAGTAATGGGCTGACCTGGAATGAAAATGAACATTTGGATTTAAGTGCTTGTCCATGAGAGAAACAGCCCAGGGTGGCAAGGTGGGGGTTGGTGGATTTCAACCAAATCAGTTGTATGGAGGCACATTGATAAGTTATTCATGAATTAGGAAGGAATCCCAAAAATATCCTTTTCTTAAGAGAGTTAATTATGGGTAATGGCTTATGTAGGCTCTTTGAGCCTCCATTTTCACCTTGGTAAAATAATGATATATTTTGTGCAAATTAAACAAAAATGGTGACACCTAAAAATATTAGACCTTACAAACATTGAAAACAATCATTTCGTTTGCAACAGATATATGTAGAATCCAGATTAGACCCTGCTTGAGCGAACCACGCCCATTAATAACACCCCTCCCCCCCATAGTCCAATTTTGACACTACCATCTTTAATTGCATATATCTCCATCTTCAGCTATAAAACCACATGAACATATTAGGCAGATATGGGTCACTCCAAATCAAGTTTCAAAAATTACTGCATGCTGTATTAATTAAAACAGGTACTGAAAAATAAAGTTGGCCATTTTTATAGCAAAAAATTGTAGTTGATTCATTCTCTTCTATATAGACAATGGGTTTGATTAATTTATTTAATTTCATTTAAACATTTTGCTGTACAATGATGTTACTAATTCATTACTAACCCAAATGTTACTAACCCATTCACATTCCCCAAGATACTTGAAAATGTCCAATTGTAGACAAAAAAATTCACATCTGACAAGAATCGATTTGTTTTCGTAACTCACCCTGTTTTACTTCACATGAAAGTTACAAAGATGACTGTTGATATCTCTGTTGCAATTTCTCAGTATATTACATTTTTTTCACATCTGTAGGCAGAGTACAAACCACAAGATATGCGTTTTCCCTCAGGAAGATATGCAAAGAAACAGTCTAAGCTCTCCGCCATGTTGATAGTACATTAATTTCACATGATTTTAAAATGTGTTAGATACATGTTTTAACCAGAAAAAAATTACAATAGGTTAAATGAAAATAAAAAGTCCAACTAACACTACAGCGTTTTAGACTGTTTGTTAATTTGAAAGAGATAGCTGAAGTTGAGTGCACCGATATATATATATATATGTCCGGACATATATGTTCTATCTGTTACAACGGACAAGTTGTAGAACAGCAGTTAGTTTTTATTTCATATATAAATAGATTAATGAATGAATGATATATCTGTTAGTCCTGATCACACTATACCCCAAAGACCTGTGAAGATGAAGATATTGACAAAAATAGAAGGGGGGTGTTCAAAGCATGTGATTCGTAGCCCTAAGAAAAACGTTTGGTTTGTTACCATGGAAACAAAGAGAGTCAAAATGATGTGTATCATTTTAATCCCCTATCTTTAGGTTATAATATATCACCAAACTAAATCATTTGGTGACACTTGTATAAACTGTAAGGCCCATCTAAATTATCCTGTTTTTCAGATAAATTTTTGGTTGATAAACCCCCCAAATTGTCCCTGGCCATATCTCTGTTTGAGGAAATATTGCAGCCTCAGTTATTGTTCATATAAAGGTTCAAACACACCAAATATGGTGTAAATACGTTCATGGACACACACTTAAAAAAGGTAAATTAAATCTGTTTATTGTTGCATGTATAATTTTTCTCTTTTTCCTTTAACTTTTAGAACAGTGACAGCAGAAATCTTTTAAAAACATTACCGTGATTACTAATTCCTGGTTTGGTAGTCACATAGTCAACAGCCAAAACGCTTTGATGAAACCTGGTATGTGCCTTGAGACTGACTGTGTAGTTTGTGGAGGACCTTAACTTAGGTATCTGGATTTGCCATGAAGGATTGCAGCCATATGATTGAAAGCTGCACTGGCAGTCAGGTACCAATGTGACTGGATAAAAGAATATTAATTTTTATTTATGTGTGTCATTACATATGAAACGGGGAAAATGTAAAACAGAAATAAAAATTAAATAATTAAAAAGGGTAAATGGCAAAATATCTATACTGTTTACTGATCCCAAGTGTATCTTAGAGTGTAATTAACTTTAAGATCTTAACATTTCTTTAAAAATTTTAATGAATATCATGGTGCAAAATAAATGCTATACATTCAAGGAAATTAGATTTTGGTTAATTTCTTGTTTAAATGTTTTTTTTCTGCCAAAGTGAAATAAATAACAAAATTAATGGTATACCTGACTGACATTTGCTGGTATTTGTAGCTTCACAACTCTGTACTGTGTATTGAATGATATGGCCACTTTCCCTGTCAAAGCTGGGAGGGCTCCAGGTAACAATGATGTTGTCTTCACTCGACTCCAAATGGAAGGCACTGTCATAGGAAGGTACTTCTGGATTAAAAAAATCCAACATCACCACAAATCCTAAAGGCATACAACTAGTATACTACTTGATTTCCCAGTTTTCCCAAAATTATTTAAGTTTTACCATAACATGGAATTATGATACCTAAAATTTGTTGTGAGTTTCAAACTTCTGAGTAAAAGTCATAATAAAGACTAGTGAAATTCACTCATAAAGGTAATAGGTTAGAAAAGTAGAACTCCAGAAGGGGTTTATACATGTAGAAGTTAACCTTTTTAATGGCTTTGAATAGGGTATACCTTTGTGTTGAAAGGATAACTGCTGAAATGACCAGAAAAATTCCCTTTTTTATATAAAAAGGCCTAACGTGCATTAATTTATATTCAACATACATTTGAACTGATATAGAAAAGGGCTGGAAACATCCAAGAAAATTTTCAATTTTATAAAATGTACCATTGCCCCTCCAATATGCAATGCAAATTATAAACATTCCTATCAGTACTTGACTAACCAAAGTGAAATACTGCTGACATCCATGTATAATTACCTCCATAATACTTAAAATTGTGATGACAATCTGGGTACTCCATAGACCCCCAGGCATCTTCCCAATTGGCAGAGAGCAGGAAAATATAATTTTCTGCTGCTTCTGGCAGTGTTAGGTTATATTGGAACCTAGATTCATTAACTGTGATCCCCAGACTGTTTTCATCCAGGATCAAGGTCTGAAGACTGTCCTGAAATTAAGTATAGATCATTGAACATTTAATTCTAAATAAAAATTATATCAATATATATAATTATAGATTACTACCAATCCAAACAGGAGATCCTTAAGGCTGCATTCAAAACCAAAGCTGATCCACAGACCAACAGATCTACCAATCACAAATGGCCAACCCACTTGAAAGCTTGCTGCATAATCTCTGCTGGCTATCTATGCAGAGTCCATTAGAGGATTATGCAGCAAGTTTTCAAGTGGGTAGGCCATATTTAGTCCACAGATCTGTTAGTCTGCCAATCAACTTGTTCTGAATGTTACTTGAGAATTGAAGTTAAGTGGCAGGCACAAGAAGTTTTAAAAAGATGTCAGTTTGCATATGGGAAACATTCAAGGTGATCTGACAGGAAGTGACTTACAGATACCCTTTATTTAGATTAAAAGTCAAAATCATGCAAGCAATAGATTATTCCATATAAGGTATATGCAGTGTATTATCATGGATACTACCAGTGGTAAACATTGACTTGTGGCTATAGGGAAGTGTCCAGCTCACCTCGCACTGAGTTCCATACAGTCCTTTGCACCAGACAAGAGTGTAGTTATCTGGTGGTGTGGTAAACAATGGTGCTTTCCAGCTTAGAACAGCCTCTTTGCCATCAACTTCTGCAACAAAATGCCTCAAGACCCCTAGAAATAAGATATGGATATAATTAATAGAAAATTGCCTAGAATAGGAATTCATATACTACCACACTTCAAATACGAACATTTGCAGTGACAGAAAGTTATGAAATGAACACAGGCATTCAATCCCAGGATTTTTGCAGGGGCCTACCAATTTAAACTCAGAGCTGAGATTTAATCCACTTAATGGCATGCGTGGAGGCGGGGAGGCCATCTGGAATCAGCGGGATTGCTTTTGAAGTGTTGTCTGCCATATTTAGTCTGTGGATCAGTTAGTATCAGATCATCTATTCTGAATGATGGCCCCTAAGACCATGCCTGACTTGCATTATGTGAGATAGGGATGTGCACTACTCAGTACCTTGTTGTGAAATCACCCACACTGACAAAGACAAAGGCTAAGTCTGGGGAGAAACACATTCCCGATGATTGCTCAAAATATCACAGGATGCCACAAAACATTTTGTAACAGACTACTAGCGTACCCTGTGATTAGAGAGTAGGATTTTGCTAAGGCATGGGGATGGGGCCATAAGATAAAAATATTGCCTTTCTTTGCTAATTAATCAAGCATAAAGTAGCAGTGGACATATTTAATGTCATATGAAGGGCACAAGGTTTGAAAGTTGGCTTGTTCACCATGTGTCAATCTAGTGTCACTCATACTGTAACCAGGAACAAGAAGGGAAGAAGGGCTGGCATGGGGTGATTGTAAAGCTGGGGACAGGGGGGGGGGGGGTCCTGAATCCACAGTTGATGTAACATATAAGACAAAACTGTCAAAGTGGGTCATTTTTGTGGGTGTAAAACTTACTTTCTGCTGACAAGTAAATGTTCTTCATGCTAGGTTTCCTGGCAAAGCCTGCTGATGTTGCTGCATTCAGAAGTAATCCTAGTGACTGGTTTGTATTTTTGGTTTGCAAGTACACTGGTGTCAGCGGGATTCCAAGTGGAGGAACGGATTCACTAGTATCATACAGCTGAGACTGACAAATGTTGCCACTCGCTATTGTAAGTGTTACATTCAAAGACCTAATCTGGCCATTCTGCAATTCTCTGGGTATCTCCTGAAAAGGGTTGTATTTATAAAAGCTATAGCTACATATGGATATAACAACTGAACCTCCCCCCTTCCTTTGTAAAAAAAAAAAAAAAAAAAAAAAAGGGAGTAGAGGTTAGGTCACCCGCTAACAGCATTGTCATGCCGGTACTAATGTAGATTTGTATCGAGAATCCTGCAATAGGCAATGCATCGGCCTCGCCTTCGCAATCAGACAAGCTGAATTGGATGCAATACTGTAGCTTATACTGAATCACTGCTTAGGCTAACCAGTGTTATTGAATATTCGACATAGTGGGGGCCTCTTTGCAACCCCACAAATGAAATCTGTGCAAAATTGTTGATAAATAATAACTTTTGCTGACTCGTCGCATCATAATTTTTAGGGTGATGAGTCTTATTGAATATTTGATATATAATTTTTATCCCTAAGGCCATAACATTTAATACAGGCAACAATTTGCTACATTGTTATTATTGTTAAAACGATTAGGACAGAGGGGTTATATAATAAAAGCGGCCTTGTTTGGCCAAATCACAAACAATCAATACTCCTTGTTGCCTTCTTTCTTGCTATGAATGAGACCATAAAAGTTTGTGGTACACTGAGATGGAGGAGACATAAAACAACTATAGTGGTTATAGTCCATGCAGGCATAATGAAGAGTTTGGCAGTTGAGGTTATCCTACTGGTTTGTAGACATTACTGTCAGTACTCTGTACTTGGTACTTTGGTAATTTCATATAATGATATAAAGATTAAACAGACTTAAATTACTATCTGCCTGCATTTCAACTTTTTATATACAACTCAATTTTGCATTGAGCCAAATTTATGACTTAGTCTTCACCTTCAGTGCAAATGAAGAACCACACAGTCTAAAAAGTTACCTTCCACAGCAGTTCTGCTTTGCCACCATTTAGTTGCACCAATCCAACAATTTCTGGAGCAGCTGTTGGAACTAAAGGGGAAACATAATATATAGTACATATTTAATGCTTCCCGTTAAAGGTTAAAACTTTTCATCTTCAAAACATAATATTACATGATTCTTCTCCATTTATTTATATACTTTTCATTTCCAGCTCATAGCCTTCATATCATAATATGAAATTCATAATTGAAATTATAGGTCGAGGCAATAAAAAGTATCTCCTACTTTTATACAGGCCCTTGACCACTGGGGGTTTGGGGGGGGGGTAGAAAGAACTCCCCCTTTTTGTCCAGAAAGGGTTCTCTCTGGGTAAATTCTATCTAGGTTTCATGGTAAAATGTCCACTTTTTCTGAAAAAGAACCCCCTTTTTGAAATTGCTGGCTATATGACCCTGGTATCTATCCTACCTGATTCCCAAGTCAATTCAGACTGGACACTAGCTTGGTCACTCCAGTAGCCAGCCTCTTCTATCCCATCACCATTTGGCCTCACTCTTATTGTGATGGAATAATCGGAATTGGGCCTAAGTCCAGATATGATCAGAGAAATGTTTTCCATGTGGTTCACATTGGGTTTGCAAAGTAAGACTGCCTACAAGTTTAAAAGCAAGATGGTACTTGTTTAAGTGAACAGTCATGACAATCTCCAAAATGAAATGCAAAATTCTGCTACATTTTCCTCTTCTTTCCAAGTAAAGAACAAATGTCTTTAAATTTGAACTTTCATGATATCCCAATAAGAGACTACATTTTACAGGATTAAACACTACCATTATGGGTATGCAAAAGGTGTCTACACCTACCCCAGCATCGCCCCAAATGATGGAGCTGTACTGGACTTCATACAGCAACCCGCCATTTCCACCCAGGCAGTTGTGGCACCTTGAAGGGTCAGAGGTCGTGACCCCTGACTGACTTAGACAGTCCAGGTACCCTGTTGGAAACTCATTAGGGGGTTTCCAATTTACCTGCAGGGCTGTGCTATTGATGATATAGGTGTTGATGTCACTCACTGGATTGGGTTTCTCTAAAGATGAAAACGTATAGGAAAGTGAAGTATAATTTTAGTACATATACATGGAGTTATGTCTTATGAATGAATGATATATTTTGTTGCTCATATACAGGAGGTTGGGTTAACTTATTCCATGTCAAATGGGTATATTTTTTTGTAAACTTTGCTTGACTANTTTTTTAGTAAACTTTGCTTGACTAAAACTATAAAGATGTGTTTATACTGACAAAAATGTCACGTTTAACTACTTTTTTTTTTGAAAAACTAAATTAATTACTATAGGCTTAAAGGAAAATCTGTAACTTTGAATTTATATTTACAGGACACGGATAATAGTATATATGTGACATTAACTAATAATATAAATATGAATGACTAACAATTCCACCTTTAAAAGCGATAGCATTGCATTTAAGTGGACTGATACATCAATCTCAACAACATTAATTTTACATCTCTTTTATCTCAAGAATTAAAACATAGCTACCTATGTGGTAATCTGCAAATACTGAAAGGTTAGTCCACACAGTTCCAAAGAGATTGTGCATTCGCATATAAAATTTAAAAAGCGTGTTGAAAGAGCTATTGAAGTTGCAAATGAAGTTGACTTCATTTTCAACAAGAGAACAGGATTTGACATTGGAGTCTCTGAAAATATAATGGAAAGACATCAGTTTGAATAAGAAGTCAGATCGCGGTATAAAAAACTTGTTAATTTTATGAGATTTGAGAAGAGTGAGCAAAAAAGCTGTTTCAAGTTCTTAATACTCGATCTGGAATATAAAACATGTTAGTATGCATATTAAAATAGTCACAGAAAAGTTATCAAAGACCCACAAAGCATCACAAAAGCAGTTTCATGTCAAGGTAAAGAAGAAAAAGGGTGCCCATAGTGTTGTCATATGCCATATAGTGGGTGAAGTAAAAATAGTACCTAAATGGTAATCAGTATACAAATCTTTGGTCTCAGTAATGTCTCCAAAACATTCACTACTGGTGACTAGGGTCAGTTTATAAGCATGGGCTCTTGACATGTCCTTTCTGCTGGATGACATGGTCCAGGTACATGCACCACCTGGGGACGAATCTGGGCTGGTGATGTTACGTTTTTTGGGACAGGGATATAAGCGGCTGTCCCCTCTAGACAATGTATACATTCGCAAGTAATAAATGCACATGCTTAATAAGTCTTGTCATTTGATTTATAATATAAAAAAATATCTGTTTTTCCTATATGAGGATAAATAACAGAATGATAAAATCTGTTGATATAAGGTTATTGTTAAAAGTCTCTATATCTACCCATAGAAGTAGAGAAAATGGAATGCCAACTTCAAATCTCGCANTTTTTTTGTAAACTTTGCTTGACTAAAACTATAAAGATGTGTTTATACTGACAAAAATGTCACGTTTAACTACTTTTTTTTTTGAAAAACTAAATTAATTACTATAGGCTTAAAGGAAAATCTGTAACTTTGAATTTATATTTACAGGACACGGATAATAGTATATATGTGACATTAACTAATAATATAAATATGAATGACTAACAATTCCACCTTTAAAAGCGATAGCATTGCATTTAAGTGGACTGATACATCAATCTCAACAACATTAATTTTACATCTCTTTTATCTCAAGAATTAAAACATAGCTACCTATGTGGTAATCTGCAAATACTGAAAGGTTAGTCCACACAGTTCCAAAGAGATTGTGCATTCGCATATAAAATTTAAAAAGCGTGTTGAAAGAGCTATTGAAGTTGCAAATGAAGTTGACTTCATTTTCAACAAGAGAACAGGATTTGACATTGGAGTCTCTGAAAATATAATGGAAAGACATCAGTTTGAATAAGAAGTCAGATCGAGGTATAAAAAACTTGTTAATTTTATGAGATTTGAGAAGAGTGAGCAAAAAAGCTGTTTCAAGTTCTTAATACTCGATCTGGAATATAAAACATGTTAGTATGCATATTAAAATAGTCACAGAAAAGTTATCAAAGACCCACAAAGCATCACAAAAGCAGTTTCATGTCAAGGTAAAGAAGAAAAAGGGTGCCCATAGTGTTGTCATATGCCATATAGTGGGTGAAGTAAAAATAGTACCTAAATGGTAATCAGTATACAAATCTATGGTCTCAGTAATGTCTCCAAAACATTCACTACTGGTCACTAGGGTCAGTTTATAAGCATGGGCTCTTGACATGTCCTTTCTGCTGGATGACATGGTCCAGGTACATGCACCACCTGGGGACGAATCTGGGCTGGTGATGTTACGTTTTTTGGGACAGGGATATAAGCGGCTGTCCCCTCTAGACAATGTATACATTCGCAAGTAATAAATGCACATGCTTAATAAGTCTTGTCATTTGATTTATATATAAAAAAATATCTGTTTTTCCTATATGAGGATAAATAACAGAATGATAAAATCTGTTGATATAAGGTTATTGTTAAAAGTCTCTATATCTACCATGCACTGGCTTAAATTTGTAAAAATGAAATTTTTTCAATTCTCAAGTTTGCTGAACTTTACAGTTTTCATGACATATACTCACTCTTTGCTGTATAACAATCTAGTGTTCACTGAGCTTTTAGCTCCATAATTTCGCCTGGGTAAACTCCAGGAACATACCATTCTTTGCTGGTTATATGATATACAGGTAAAATTGACAGGGGGGTCAGGAGGGTCTGAAAACCAAATAGTGTTTTCAATACGTATTATTATTATACATGTACCCAATGAAAGTTTTATTGTGACAATTACATCATAAATAACCATGAAAAATATGCTGTGCTTGCTATTGAAATATTATTATTAATCCAGTTGAATTATAACCATTATAATTGAATAAAATCCAGATTTCAAATGGGGGGGGGGAGAGGTTGGTTGGGCATGTCACATACAACTTGGACATAATAACGAAAGGACGTGAAACGCGGCATCTTCCTTTGAAGCTATAGTGTGTTTGGGTAAACATTCGCCTATTGTCTCAGATAAGCTGTTTTGATAGCTCCATGGGAGCCTGAACAGTTTACAGTATTATCAAGGTAGCGCGCGCTGTGCCTCAGTGAATTTTTTTTGTTCTATTGCATGGATAACGCAATTTCTCGCAGTCCCTAGTGGTTGCTATGGAACAGCATTGCCGCCATCTTGCAGTTGAGAGCCCATAGGCTTACATCAACACGTGGAAATTTGTTTTGGGTTTTTAGTATCTTTTTCCTGTTACCTCATTAAAATGGGTTCTGGCGTTTGTCTATACTTGTTATCATTTTCAAGATTGTATTGATCTATGTAGAGCTGATATATAACTGGTTTAAAAG